AGACGAAACAGCCCGTCTCATATGCAGCTGTGCTCAACTCTCGCTGCCACTACAAGGCCAGGAGCTCTCATTCCTCCCAGTCCAGAGACACCAAGCTCGCATCCAAATCCACAGACGCAGCGGGACGTGGCCACCAGTGCGGATCAAGAAGCAGTGTGCAACACCATGTGCACACTTGCTACACTGTTCATGATGGCAGCCAACCTCTATGTACTTGTACCACAGCGAGGGCCTAAGACTAGGACTACTTGCAGGACACGGCAACTCATCCAATTGCGACTGGCTGAAAGGCAGATAAAGCAAAGATTGCGTTACGCTAACGAACCAATCAGATGGCTTCATACAACTCGTTGCCAAAGGGTTGCCTACTTACAGAAATTCAGACTGCGACATCCCATACAATGGAAAAAGGCCTTGATGCTACGTCTCTCAAGCACCCACACCAATGGCATCTGGCGGCAGGATCAACGGTGGTCACGCTGGCGGCTCCAGCTCATCCAGATGCAACGGCTATCAGACTGGGTAGCTTCCAGACAATTGGGGATTTTCCCAATCCTCAAATAATTAATTTGACAGCAATCCCCATGCCAAGGCTGGGAAACTTCACTTGAATTGTATATAACATGTCACTTAATTCATTGTAAGTACTCTAGGTATTAAATGAATAAAAAAACAGTCTGGATCCCAGTCCCCACTTCTCTGTCTGTCAACCAGGCATGGAGCTGGGCTCCGGAATCCAGACCGACATTGCGTTTGTTCCCTTGTGTCGAACGGTAAACAAATTACCAGCCACAGCGCCATCTGCGGCTTGTTTCACATCCGCAGCTGTCGGACACATTTCAATTCAGGCATTGCCGAGGCCTGCAGCTGCTGCTACGCCTATGACTTCAAATTCACCTGTAACAAGCGAAATACAAACTGAAAGCACAGCTTATAGCAACAACAACAACGCCACTCACCTGATAACAGACGACACTGTCCTATTGGCAGCCAGCCATTCCTCACTTGTCATACCACCACTTGCGGCCGGCAGCACACTTTCCGATACATCTGATCCTGAAGTACTGGATGTCGTGGGCTGCCTGCCATAATAAGGCCGTTGCAGTTTTCAGGTCACCTCCAATGGACTGTGACCTCGTGAGCAACAAAAATTGCCTCTGCCACTCGAAGCCTATAGATGTACCCACTCCAGATTGTGTGCCTGCCGATCCGTGTGAAATTCTCCAATTGCCGCTGAAATAAACGAATATTTTAAATCAAATTAATTTTAATATAATATAAAAATACTTACCTGTTGTCAATATAAACGCATATCCATAGTATAAGTTTTTGCCAGTAAGAGCCAGCCCTGTGGCGCTAACAAATTCAGTTATAATGTTTGTAAAATATCGATTGAATAAAGATGCTCACCCCCAGCCGCACAATTCACCACTCCTGCTAGACAGGTAGAGGTGAAATCGTGCAAATGGGAGTAAGCTCAGTATTAGTGCGTCTTCCATGGCCACTGAGAGAGAAAAAAAAG